GTGGGTATCTGACATATTTGGAAATATTCTCAAAAGCTTCCTAGAAGCTCCATAAGAAACCTTCTAAGAACATTCCAAAAACGTATTCTTAAAATGTTCTTAGATTGCTTTTTAGGAAGGTTTTAAGAAGCTTCTAAGAATCTACTTGCATCATTAAAAGGGTATCTATTGAATGTTTTAAAAGTCCCTAAGAACATTCTTAGCAATAATGGAAGGTTCTAAGAATATTCCATTATTCCGAGTCGTATCTTCTTAGAAGATTCTTAGAATCAAATTTTGCTATCAGGGATGGACATCTAACCTTACTTAAGTTTATCACTAGTCTTGTGATTTTGACAGCGAAAGCAAAAATCTTCAATATTGCCATTTACATTTTTATACATGGACAACCTATAGGTATATATTATTATTATAATATATTATAATAATAAAAAAATAAATTAATCAGTAATTAGCAATATTGACCATTTTTTTATGCTGTCAAAATGATAAGATTAATGATAACCGGAAGTACAGTTTGTTCCCCATAAAGGAAGTTTAGATTTTCATGTCAACGGGATGATAGTCGTTCAAAATTCCGTGTCCGCCACTGTACCTCAAGCTCGCTTGTGCCTAAATTAAATTCGTCGTACATAGCAACAAATTATCTAAGACCGCTATGTAAAACGCCAAATTTTGTACCACTGACACCTGAGTAAACGTCACTTTACGCACAGTATTGTGTAAAGTTGGTCGATCGGGATCGACGCACAGTTGCTATAGTTACATAACAGTTATGCTGGAGAAGTTTTGCTTGTTTGGATATTTTACAAACATTGTGGTACCGTAAACACGGGTGACTTTGCACCCCGCGGGTGACTTTAGCCCTTTTATGAAAAATTTTATCGCGCTCGATAAAATTAACATTTATAATTTGTTGGTCTAAACCTGTCAATTGAGCGATTCTATTGAGTTTATATTACAGGAAAATCAGTGTTTTAAAAAAATAAATGGGATGTATTACACTTTAAAGTTGTATATATTGCATTAGTGCAAAACTCTTAAAAATACACGCGTTTCAATTTCTATATTATGCGCAATTCTTTGGAATGATGATCCTTGGTTAACTACAGGTCAATTTTTTATTGTTTTTATCGGTAATCCCTTGCAATTGCTAACATAATATGTCTAATAAAAATAAAATAAAATATTGAGTTAATTTTATACGGAAAAAACACTGTGAGACAAAGTAACCCGCAACCAGGGGGTAACTTTGCACACCCAGTTTTTAATTTTTATTATTGAAACTCAGCCCTATGTAATATTATAACATAGTTATTATGAAAGAGCAACTGAAGACTCAAATTTTGGTATACAATATTTAATGTTTATGATTGTTAAAACTACAAAAATGTTAAGATTAAGTTTGAAAGTGAGCTAAAGCAACCCGTGTTTACGGTAACAGAATTAAATAAATATTTGGCAGAACTGTCAATGTCAAATTTAAAAAGGTTGAAAATGTTGTGTTGTAGATAAAGTAGTGTACATTCTTCGAGTGGTAAATTAATTACTCGCTCGCCCTTAAGTAGTACCACTCTAATTATGTAAAGTACTATTACGTTATATAGACAAAAAAGTGTTGTTAATAATTATAAAAACTTCTAATGACAGTTATCAAAAAGAAGATTTTTATGAATTTTGATTTTGAAAAGAAAGCTTTAATCCCGGAGCATTCGCCATTTTTGCAATTTAGAGTAAATCCAGCCCGTTTACGTTGCATTTTATAATAATTACACTGTACAACAACAAAATGTTTGTCATATAAAAAGAAGCAAAACCCATGAAAAACTACGTTTACAGTTTGTCTGTATCAGTTTGGGATTTCGAGAAATTGAATTTGAGTTTTTTGACCACAAAGTTAACTAATTAATTAAATTCTGCAAATGTTTTAAAATTCATAATCTGAACTAAAACTTGTATTTTTGTTCTTTCAGTAAGAAATTTCGCAGTTTCTAATCACGTGCTTATTTTGAGCAACAAAAAAAGATTTGAAAAATCAGCTAATGCTTTGATTGTTCAAAGAGCATAAGGGAGTCTTTAACTATGGTTTCGCGTAAGAATCGAACAAATTTTGGACATTTGTTTGTAAGTGATGCCAGAATTGAATATATTTTTGTAACCTTGTTTCTCCATTTAGATGGTGCATTTTTTTCAAAAATTTCATCAATTTACCGATGTGGTTTTCAGGCCTTAAGTCACTGTACTGTGTTAAAAATAGATAAATTTCGATATTTTGTAATAAAATTTTTATTTAAAAACGTATCGATTTGAAATTAAGATAAAATGTAGACCTTATTAATGGCAACTCAGGTAGCACATATATATCTTGTATCAGACATTAGTAAGTCCCGAGTACGTCCGAATCAGGTCCTGAACCTTCCCCAGGACGTACCAGGGACATCCGAATTTAAATTAAAATTTTACCATTTTATAAGGGTTAAAAAGTCGAAGAAGCAACGTTGTTTTATAATTTTGAGTATATTACGTTAAAGTACTGATAAATAACTATTATTTGATATATAAACATGCAAATTATGTTTCTACGAGATACCTCATTTTTAAGTTAGGTCTTTAAAGGGTATAAGTAATACTAACGTGTTTATCTAGTTTTATAAGATAATGTATTATATATTACATATTATACATTATTTATTACATATAATATATAACATACAATTCTTACAATTTATTTTTAAAAATCGTCATAGATGGAGCAAAAATGACTTTATTTATAAATTTTGAAGTTTACTAATTTTGATCATAGTAGGCATCATAGACTTTTCTCTATGGAAACCTACCATTGGAAGCATAAAAGATAATTTGACAGTTCAGTTTATAAGTTCCAAATGACTGATTGCGTTTCAATTTAAAAGTGTATACACGTACTATAAACTCAAAACATTAATTTATTAAAATGAATAAACTAAATAATAATTATAGACAGTGTCAGCAAGTTAGAAATAATAACCTACTTTAATTTTATTTTTTGCTCCACAACCAATTGGTTGAAGCTTAAGCTTCAATTTATTTTTTACTCGATAAGCAAGCTTCAATTTTAATTCCAAACTGAAGAAAGTATTTTTTACCCAATAAATAAATTAGAATAAAGACTTTATTTTTTATGTTGCTTAGATATATTTTATATTTTGCATTTTGTTATATTTAATATAATGCTACACAGGGTGTTTCTGGAGAAACGCAAACAATATGGATTTGCAATTTTAATAGCATATACAATTTGATTTAGACTATACCTACCTAAAGTCAATAGTTTTCAAGATATTAATTTTTTTCGTTAAAATTTTGCCAAATGCAAGTTAGCAAAAATAGCCTCTAATTTTTTTGTTATTATGTTTGCTGACATGGGGTTGGAATTTTTGGAATATTAAAACATAGTTTAAATAATTTAATTTTTAAAGGTTTTTAACAAATAGCTTGAGAAAAACCACTTAAAATTATAATAACGGTTTTATTATTAATGTAAAAGTCTGTATGTTTTAACATATTCAAATAGAAAATTAAAAAATCTTTCGATTGGTATTATAATAACTGTTTCCTAAAGTTAAAATTTCAGAGACATTTAACAATTTCTAATATTTTCAATACTATTTTGTCATGTAGATTTTCAACAAACCTGTGAAAATCTACATGAGGGTTAATGTGGAAGTATCCATGGACACCATGGTGCACTTAATCTGTCATTGTTTAATAGTATATTATGTATCAAGTTTTATAAACTCCATTTTAGATACGAGTTTTATTAGGCACGAGCGAAGCTTGCGAGCGAGTGTTTAATAAAAACGAGTGTCTAGAAAAGTTTATAAAACGAGTTGCATACTATGCTTTATCTACGACGTATAGAAATAAGAATTTAGAGCCAATTTTAATTTATAAATATTTAACATTTGACAAATTTAACCTCACTTTTTCGCAATTTATAATAAAGCCAACTTCAGCCCGTGACTAAAATGCCCAAAAACCACTGTTGTTAACTTCAGCCTGTGACTAAAACACCATATTCACAGCTCTTCAATGCAGGAGTAGATAAAATTAATTAAAATATTTGATTGAAAAATTAATAACTCGAAAAATATTGACTTTAGGTATAGGATATATGGTATAGCCAATTTACTCAGAATTTTATGTAGAATTCAAAAATGTAAAAATATATAACGTGTCATGTTTAAAATAACAAAATAATTTAGGAAAAAAGTCTAAATCGAATACGCCATTAAAATTTTAAATCGATGTCTTTCGCAATTCCCTATAAACTTCTAACGGACTACGTACGTGAAACAACCTGTATATTAAACGTCATTTATGTGTTATGCTATACTTAATTATTAATAAAATATACAACGATAAAAAGCACCTTTTTAAGTTAACAGACAACCCAAACTTTCCAACTTGTGGGACACCCGAAACGGTAGAACATGTCTTACTACACTGCCAAAAAAACCAAGATGAAAGAGAGAAAACAGAAAGAAAAACTGGAAGCACCATCATTGAAATGCTAAAAGATATAGAAAACAATTATATAAAAATGAAAAACTTTTTACAGACAGTCCCTGAGCTCTAAAGAAAGGTTGCATAGCCATGGGCTAAAACCTTGTACATATTTTAATATATATTTATTGTAAATATGTACCGAATTGAATAAATAAAATAATAACTCTAAAACTTTTTTATAAATTTTTTTTATACATAGATTTTTAATGTATTTATTTCCACAAAATTAGGCATATAACTTTATTTTCCGCTTGCTAAATCACGAAACCAATTGTTAGGATTATTACATTTAAATTATACCTGGTAATATATTTTCTATGCTATTTTAAGATCCTAAGTACCTAGTGCATTCCCTTTAATGAATTTGTAGAGAAAACGGTATTAAATTGTCGACATGCTTTAATAAGTTTCAGGCAATAAATAAGAAACTTGATAAAAGTAAATTTTTATGGATTAAAAACAACTTAGACTTAATCTAAAACTTAAACTAAAAAGTCTTATAAAAACTCCATTTCTCTTTCGATTCCAACAAACTTTAGTTGTTCTGTTGGCCCATACCGGTAATCAAAGAACAGTTCTTCGCCGGGTTGTATGGGTCTTTTGGCAAAAATACCAATTCTATGGTCGCCATTGACCATCATCACTTTGGCATAACAATTTGGATTTATGGAATGATTCGCGAACCTAATTTTGTTTCCTTTTCTTGTAGCATCAACAACGAAATCTAGAAAAAAATACAATTCATTTTCTTCAAATTTTAGATTTTTCCCGTCTTCACTTACCGTTGTTTAAATTGAAAAGAAAACTGCACATGTACTTGTCATAAACTTTTCCTCTTCGATCAGCTTCATCTTGCGAAATAATTTCTCCGCAATACTCGGAAATAAATTCGTTCTTTTGAGCGCTGTCTTTTAAAAATATGCCCCAACCAGCCACGTCAGAAGGTGCCATTAACAGATGCTTATCTGAAAATTAAATTGAAGGTTAATACGTACCAATTACCAAATAATTTGTTGAAGACTTACGCAAACCCCTCTGAACGCTGACGTTTTTGCATGTTATTTTCGATATGTCGAACTGATCGGCACCGCAAGTCTGGCATAAATCTGGATCGCACTCTCTGACGGCCAAATAGCAAGGGCATTGTTTTGTGTTGCACTGTGCCTTGCATCTGCAGCCAGGGAAACGATTTTGACCTTAAAATAAAGTTTTTTTTATTTGCGTTTCATAATGAACTCATTATAAAATGCATTTGCGTGCGAGTCTCTTACTTTTTCGCACGCAAATCATGGGGGACTGTTTTTACAAATTTGGCAACACGAGATGTCGTTATTATTGAAGCGTCAGTTAGCATATTTTTTTAAGCGAATTTTCTTTGTTGCTATTGCAATAAGAAAGACAAAAAACGTACATACGTACTATGGTCCACACCCAAGGTTGTTAAGGTCTGTCGTTGTCAAGCTAAATTCGTCCTATTTTCTGAAAATAATGAAATATACAGTGTGACCCATTTGTTTGCGACTAACCCCTGTAAAATCTTTTTTTATTGTGCGATTTTAACCTGATTTGTTTTAAAAGGTAGATCTTGATAAATTGTATTTTTAAAACAAATACGCCATATATTTACAAAATACAAGGCCAGTTCTTAAGAGTAAATTTTTAAGAATTCATATAAGCGATTTTTTTAAACAAAATCTAAGCACGGCACTGGATTCACCACCCTTCAAATTTTATTGAAAAATGCACAATAATAACTACAAAAATTTATTCTGTCAAGTTATGCATGAAAATACATTAAAATAAAATTAAACTTATAGTAATAGTACCATGTTACTATTAGTTTCATTTTATTTAAATGTTTTTACATGGATAACTTGAGAAAATAAATTTTTGTAGTTATTATTGTGCATTTTTCTACTTAAAATTTTTCAATAAAATTAAGTAAAGGGTCGTTTTGAGGGGTGGTGAATCCAGTGCCGTGCTTAGATTTTGTTAAAAAAATAGCTAATATGAATTCTTAAAAAATTATTCTTAAAAACTGACATAGTAGGCCTTGTATTTTGTACTAATATGGCGTTTTTTGTTCCAAAAATTCAGTTTATCAAGATCTACACTTTAAAACAAATCCGATTAAAATCGCACAATAAATAAAGATTTTACAGGGGTGAGTCGCAAACAAATGGGTCACACTGTATGTTTTTTGTGTATTTAGATTTCAAAAAAATACATATATTGTATTATTTTTAGAAAAGAGAATATAGCTTGACACTGACAGATATTATATCAAAGTCATTATTTCATTTTTTTGGTTCAGTATGGTCACATTTTAACGTTTTGATTACGCGTTTAATATGTCTATGCTTTAAATGGACACTACGTTAAGACAAAAACATTTTTAATTTTTAACCACCTTGGTATATTTCCTAAAATTTTGCACCGTCCCATTATTTTTTCTTCTACTGTTTTTCTTTACCTCAAGAGTTAAAAAAAATGTTTTATTTTTTTACACTACGGTAAAATTACTCTAATTTATCTCTAGAAATGCAATTATAAAATTACTCCATTACTTTAGAGGACATAAATTTAATTGTGGAAGGATAATTTAAAAACCGGAGGCATTAAAAAATATCTTTGCTATAAAAGTGACGTTTTTATATTATGTTTATTATTTAATTTGCTGTTTATTAAAAGAACTAATTAAAAAAAGTTCAAACAGTTCTTTTTAGTAAACAATAATTTTACAATAAAAAAACAAGGAATTTACAAATGAGTAATTTCGGGCCAAATTTTTATCCAAAGTTTAAATTTGCCTGAAAATGACACGCATTTTTTTGTTTGTATGGTAAACCAAAAAGTCAAAACCAGATTTTATCTACGTTTTTGACGTGACTTTGTACTATGGTCTACAAAGGTCTACAAAAGTTGACTTTGTTAAGCATCAGACACATTCAAAAATAATTTTAGATATTTTCAGCACAGATTCCAAGAAAATGTTTTTATACGCCATTTTTTATCTTACGAGCAATGTTTGTTGGAAAAGTTCGATATTAGATCTACTGAATATTTAAATCAAAAAAATCTTTTTTTGCAAATGTTATTAAAAAAATTGCTTTTTTCAAATTTGGGACTCTCATTTTTTTCGTTTTTTTTATTCCAAAATGTTCGTACGATGTTCTTTATTATACTGTCAAATTTGAGGATGGAGAAATAAAAAACTATTTTTTTAATCGAAAGCGCGCTGTGTTATAAGCAATTTGTTTTATTTCAATATTTAGAACTTTTGCCAACAAACATTATATTAGGAGTTTGTTGAATCTTATTTTATTTTTATAAAGGGTTGTACAAAGATTTATTTTTATAGTTCCAAAATTTCAAAATCTTTAAAATTTTCCATATAATTTTGAAATAAAATAAGTGTCACTTTTTTTCGTATCCTAAACGAAAAAATATATATTTTAGGCAAATTTAAATGTTGATACAATAAAGAGCGCATCTATTATAATAATGCATCAGGAGCTTTTTAATGATACCAAATACTTGGGTTAATTAATTAAATCACAGTTTACTTCTAGAGTTCGAACGCTATAAGTTTGATACCGCAACGTTATCAGCCTTGCCCACCGTTGTCGAGCGATGTCTTTGCGATTTAAAAGTTACAGATCAGGAACTCTTCTACCATGGGATACCATATGGAAACCCATGGTAGAAGAGAATATAATTTTTTGTTATTTTAATGCTTTTAATTAAAATACTTATGTATTCTAAAATGACAGGCATGTGCCTATTACAATTGAAGACATGAGTGGATAAAGGTGTTGTGTTACATTTTTAATATTAACCCAGACAGCATTGGGAATTTTAAATGAGCCTGCATTTTTCTGCAGGCTTGAGGCTAACTCATTTCGTCGGCCTTATCACGTATTGACCTAACTAGCATTTTGTAAACTTTACAAGTTAATTGGCGAAAAACAAAAATGGGCCTTATTTATATCGACGTAATATTTAGTCTGCTGTGTTGTCTGTACTATGAAAGATACATACAGATATATTTAACATACCTTATGCGCGGTCATTAACTAAAGCTTACAGCGCGGCTTTCTAATAAAAAAAACTTAATTGAATGCTCAGGTATAACATATCCAAATTTAAACAAAATCGGACAACTTTTATTTTTTGTTGTAGTGCGCTTGAAGTTCGCCGAGGCTTATGACGGTTACCGACGTTTACCGATGCTTTAAATTTAATGTTGATTTTTATTTATTATTATTATTTATTTTAGGAATTAAAACATTTATAAAAAATAGCTGCTATAGTTGTTGCTAATTTCGATTTTTTTTTTAAATGCGATAATACTATTACTATTTCAATTGTTTTCTTTTTTTGGAAAATTAAACCCATTTATGTAATCTTTTTATTTACAGCCATTTCACGTTACTATTCAATTTTTAGCGTCCGTAATAATAAAAAATTGTGAGTAAACACTACTCACGGTGCTGTTCTGAGAGGTGATTTTTTGACTTTCTGTGAAACCTAATTTTTTTTTATATTCTTGTTAATTAGGTCATAACTAAAATTTTAAGAGCAAAATAAAAAAAATTTGACGGTTTTAATTGTTTTAATTGGCTGTTTATTAAAAATATTATGCACTCTTTCAATTATCCAATTAAAACTAGCGATTTAATTTAAATATTTAATATTTGCATAACTAAAAAAAAGGTTTTTACAATTTTTTTTATATACTTTACTGTTTTGTTGCAATAAACGTTCAAACTTTTAATCTAACCTTTGACGTATACATTTATGTTCCCTTAATTTATATATCCTTAAAGGTTGCCAGAAAACTTAGATCTATTAATAATAATAATAATAATAATAATAATAATAGGCTTTATTTCAGAGGACATATACATGTGTAGAAAACGTCAAGGTACATTTGAAAATAGACAAACATAAATACAATTAAAAATAGGTACATATACATAATAATAGTAATAATTTACAGAAACTAAATCTACATTAAAAGAAATTCACTTATACCATAATAACATTTGGACAACAAATATGACTTTAAAAGCGTTTTAAAAATGTTAATTGACTTAGCATTTTGAATGTCTAAGGGGAGTCTATTAAATATATGTATGCCTAAACTGTTCGGGGACTTTTTACCTAAATTTAGACGATTACATTGCGTTCTTAGTTCATTTTTCTTTCGGGTATTAAAATTGTGGATATCAGAATTCATTAAGAATTTACTTTTGTTTAAAAATACATATATGCCTAGCTCCAAAATTTGAACACATGGTACAGGCAATATTTTAAATTTTTTAAATAGTTCTCTACATGAGAAATCTTGTAGAACACCGGCTATGCATCTGATTATTCGCTTTTGGGAAACAAATACACGTTCAGCACCCGTATTAAAAATTTATTTGACGTTTGAATTGTCATTTTCAGTATACGTATTCTATAATTTTTGTTTAGTTTTGTGTTTTTTATAAACAAAAATGAAAAATTGTAGTAAAAGTTACGAATAAATTCATGAAATTTAACTAAGGACCGGTTTATTCATCTTTAGTAAAGTTTATCGGGCCGATAACTTTCATGTCTTGGCAATATCTAGTATCCAAAGAAATTATTCGTCAAATAAATCAAAAATGAATAAATCGGCCCTAAATAAAATGTGGCACCCTTAGAATTATTGTTTAATAAATGTATACTATACATTTAACCTTAAATTAAAACTTTAAACGTGTATTACAACAAAACAGTAAAAGATATAAAAAATGTATAGACCTTTTTTAAGGAAATTAACTAATCTTTAATCTGATTTAAAAAGTTATGATAATATTTAAATAAAATCGCAAGTTTTAATTGGAGAATTGAAAGTGTGCATACATATTTTTAATAAACATCCAATTAAAACAAAATTAACCGTCAATTTTTTTTTATTTTGCTCTTAAAATTTTAGTTATGACCTAATTAACAAGAATATAAAAAAAATTAGGTTTCACAGAAAGTCCAAAAATCACCTCTCAGAACAGCACCGTGTACTGTAATTATTATAAGCTTAATTATAATTATTAATATTAATAATAATAATAATTAATAATAATATTATAATAATTAATAATAATATTAATAATTATTAAAGGCATAATAAACATATTTGCAATACGCTAAAGAAGTATCGGGTTTTCGCAACGCGCGCGCCATCTGGTGGACTTCGATAGCATTGCGTGAATTTAAGAATTGTCAACAATACATTTAAAGCACAGATTATACATCATTTTTAAATAAATAGGTGTTTTTTTCACAAAAGAGAGGAAGGCAGAAGTCTTACTCGACAAATTTTGTTCAATTGCATCGCGCACGTTATTTGTGTTTTACGTTGCAAGGAAAAAACTAAAAAACTGGTTTAGTACTAGATTTCGATTGATTATTCTTTATATCATTGATTAAGAAACTCAACGCTTAAATGCTTATATAGTTACGTAAGTGTGTGTATTTTAACTAAGGGGTCATGGTGAATTATTGTGTTTTTAATTGTAAATAAAATTCAAGAACTAAATCGTTGCATTTTCATGTTTTGCCAAAGGATCCAATCAGGGCCGGGCCTAAGGGGGGTGTAGGGAGGGGGGAGTCACCCCCCCAAAGTCTTGGCAGTTGGTTCCAAATCCAAACACGGTTGGCAAAATCTATAGTATTTGGGTCAGTTGGTTGGGTATACCTACCCTACCAACCAATCCATCACAATAAATAAAATGAAATATAATTTTTAAGCTTTACCTACATATTACAAAATTATAATTTTTAATCTATTGTAACCTCCTATAATCGATACCGTCAAAAAAATTGTATTGGTCAACCTTATTTTTATTAAAGGACATATTTCACACAAGCGGCCTGTACAAAGTCGGCACCGCCTCGCGGCTTTGTCTTTGGTTTTGGCGGCGTTTGACTCGTTTTACCTACCGCAATTTTCGGCGTCTTATTTTTCTAGATTATTGATTGGTTGAAGCTTATTTAAGCTAAGTAAAACCAGTGTCAATAAATGGGAATTAATTTTTTTTTAATATGGAAAAGAAAGCTAGACCAGGCCGAGTTCTAGTAAAATGCTCATTATGTGGATCTGTGTTTAAATTAGTAAAAAATAATGTTTGCACAAACATAACCTTAAAATCAACCATTTTTATATTTGAGTTCTCTAAAAAACGCCGACAACTGCATTTTAAACAACAAAATATACCTATGAATTCATGGCAACAAAATATTATATATAATACATTTTACTGTTGAGTGGAGACTTTCTTAATCAACGCTTTTAATTATGCTAAATGCTGTAAATTTAGACGACTTATTTGTTAGACGATTTTTACTGAATTGAAATGTTTAAACTTTTTACGTTAATCATTACTAAAATGTGAATTCATTGTATCTATTAGATACAATTTATATTTACAGGGACTGTATGGAGTTTATTTCTTCATTCGGAATAACACTGTTTATTGGAAAACCGGTAAAAACTCAACCCAGGATTTCCTCTCGAAATACACCCAACAGCACAACAAATCGTGCCACGGTTTTTTCCGATATTTTTTTAACATTTTAAAACATGTAACGATAAACCAAACCAACAAAAAATCTTATATATTTAGTAAATGCAGTGGTTTGAACGTTTTATTCTTTATTTTAAATAACCATAACATATGTATGTTTTTAAAATAGAATAATATATTTATTGTGGCACCATTGAATTTGTCACGAAATTCTTTTTCGTTTGAGTACCCACATACAATAATTTTTATTAAGATATTATTTTAAACAGAGTTTTAAATGTCTTGTTTTAAACAGGACAACCCCACCTCTAGGGTTTTTTTTTATTTGAAAGCCTAAGGGCCGCGCTATGAGCTACTTAATAAGGTAAGATAAATATAAATGGGGTATTCCATGCCAAATCGACCACTTTTAAACCCGACCCCTTTCGATCTGGCCAAAAGTTTTCCATTCTTTTCTCCCTTTGAAATTTTTTAAAATTTTTTTATCCAACCCAAAAAAAGTTTAAAATTTTTCAACAAAATAGGTTTTTTATTTTCAAATAGCCATAACTTTTTGAAAATAAAAAACATATTTTTTTGAAAAAACTTTTTTGGGGTTTCAAAAATGTTTTTCAAAGGGTAGAAAAGAATGGAAAACTTTTGGCCAGATCGAAAGGGGTCGGGTTCAAAAGTGATCGATTTCGCATGGAATACCCCATATGTTTACCTACCCGGTTTATAAAAAAAAGATAGAAAATTATTTTTTATAGCTAATTTTATGCTCTTTCAAGTAATGCAATAAAATTATAAATATTTCTTTTCATTTAAAAATAAAAAAAATTATTAAATTTAATTATTTTTGAATGCGTTTTTTATGGTCATTTATGAAAGTGACGCCCATCTCTAGTTTTATTAATTGGCCCCCTGTCTTTTTTAACAGGATGCCACTGTTTTTTTATATTTTCAAGAACTTCTGTTAATTTTTCAAAATATTTTAACAAGCAAACTAATTTAATTGAAGGGGTTAGAATAGAAAGGGTATAAGTGCAATTTCTTTAATTTAGGAGATAAGTTCGTTTTGTGAAAGATAAGGTTCCGACGTATCGAAATGAAAAGGATTTAAGTAATTTTCATACTTCTAGCGACCTCTATTATCCAGTAGAAAAACATTACTAAACAAAATTCTTCACTTTTTTATGGTAACATAACTTTAACTTCAAATATCTCCAAACAATGAAAATGTTACTTATACCCTTTTTATTCTAACCCCTTCAATTGGTTTATTTTCTTAAGGGGTGCAACTAATTGAAATTTGAAAAAGTCATGGAAGAAACTGTGTTGGGTCCTACACATAACCTGTTCTCTAATCTAGCAAAAACTACCTGTATACAGGGTATACCAATCAATGAATGGTATACCCTGTATACAGGTAGTTTTTGCTAGATTAGAGAACAGGTTATGTGTAGGACCCATGGCATTCATATGTATTAGTTTAATTAATATGTATCAGTTTTATTAATTAAAATAATAAAAATATACTTACAATCTGAGCTGCACTGACAAAACTTTTCACAAAAGTTCTGCGCCCCAATGCACGGACAGTTCTGATCGCAATTTTGCCCCGGGTGATCGCACGGCGTGAAATTGTACACATGATTACTGCTAGTATCTTTTTTAAGTTGAATTTTACGACAATGCATCGACCAGAGACGATGCTTCTTCTTCTTTTTGCGCGGAGGAGTGTAATCGCGAATGGCCTCCTCGTCCGGAATGTCTGCAGCTTCTTTTTGAGCAAAATGATATATCTAAGTGGAAGAATAAGTGTTAAAAATACATATTTTATAAAAAAGTGTTTTTAACAACCTGTTGGCATGTTTTGGTCAGCATAATTTGAGCAATGGCGCAATAATTGTTTAGGAAAACTTTGTGTAAAGCTCTAAACAAACTTTCATCAGAACCAGTCCATTCTTTATGATCATTGGCCCCCATTAGACCCAACAGGCTGAAGGAAGTAGTAGTTGAAACTGGATCTCCGCCTTCATTATCTTAAATAAATAAGAAACAATGCCAACCTAACAAGATTTTAATATGTGGTTTCATTAAAAACTCGTAAAAAAACAAACAAAACCTTTTTAAAATTCATAGTTAAAAAACTATTCTATTAATTCTATTAATGTGAATAAAATACTGTTAATAATGTTAAATTATATATTGCATTATTTGTCTTTTACCTTTAAATTTGTTACTGTCATTGCTATCCTCCGAACTGGCTTCATTTCCAGAATCCACAGATTGTTGCTTGCAAATTTTCCTTGGATTGTTTGCATTTCCATTTGCTTTAACTTCTGTGGAATCAACCGCCGCTTTTGTCGCCGGTTTCCCTTTCGTTTCCTTTTCAGTTTCCTCCTCCTGTTTTGCTTTGGCGGCCATTTTCTCTTTTACAGCGTCCTTAAGTTATAAGTCATCGTTTTGACACCGAGATAGAATTCTATCTCAATGGTTTTAAGTTAAAACTTATGTGGAATGATAAAATTAATTGAAACTGTGGCAAAAATTGTATCTTGAAAGTTCCTTATTAGAGCATAAAATTGAGGGTGCTTTCTGCACTAAATTCAATATTTTTAGCAGTTTCCGGGGAATTTTTCATTCTACATCGCATATTTTTTAAATTAACCAGTTTATTTACTAAAGTACTTACAAGTAATAAGAAACATTCTGAACCACATGGATCAGTAAATGGTTTAAGGTCAGGTCCTCTTCTTTTTTGCAAATTTGGGCCTGGGTGGCAAGCTTGTAAACCTACATAAATTTTTATTAATATCATAAAAATAAGAAATGATATATAAAGATGAATTAAATGTGTCTTTTTTATGAATATGTTAGGATTTTTTAAGTAGAGCGGGGTAATTTTTTTAAGTATTTTGGCTTGCTTAACTTAAAATTTGCAATAATTTTTTTGCAGGGTATTCCAGATTTGGTTTTTTTAATGCACCCTTACAATTTGGGACATAACTCGAGTTAGAAACGGCTAACCTGGTTGCAAAAGGTGCCAAACTAAATATTATTGAATCGCCGACCAATATTACTCTCTTAATGCATTATCAGTGGAGTACAATGGGCTCGAATATTAAAAAAAGTCGTTTTTTGGATAAAATAAGAATACATCATTTACCTTTTCGCCAAGAACGAATAAAAATCATCGCAATTTGACTAATTTGAATTATCTACTAAGAGTTCACACTTTTTTAAAGAAAACAGGTTATTTACGAAAAAAGTACCAAAGTTTAAGTAGAAAAATTTAACTCGACTTCGACTTTTACGTTATTCATAAAGTCCACTCAAACCTTCGTTTGACCTTGCGTGCCGAGGCACTGTCTGGGTTTTTTTCATGAATTAGGGGCTTATTTTAAAAGCATAAAACAAAATTTGCACCAGCTGCCAATTTTTTTTTTTTATGAAAAATACAGTTTTTAGTGAATATCTTGGGCCCCGTATACTGCCCAATGAAAAGTATAAAGTCAAATTATTTTTTATAAAATTTCCTATAATTTTTGTCTAAAGTGTTTTTTGTTTATAGAAAAAATATACATGTTTTTTGGTTTTTTATTTTTTTTTCACTTTTTTGCAAATATTTCGCAAACGTACGGTAAATTATTAAGATAAACCTAAATTTTCTAAAATATAAAAAATAGAGCTTGGTGCGACTAACGAGAGGCGACCAATCCACGAGCGTTTGAATATATTTTCCCGACTTTGCAAACTACAAAACATTTTAAACCGGCTTTTCGACAGCTTCTTGCTGTGACGCGGCGCGCCGCATTGATTTGTACACGAGCACGAAATGATGTCGACCTGAGTTCGTCACAAGTTTTTAGATTTACTCTTTCTAGTAGAAGTTTACTCTTTCTAGTAGAAAGTTTCTAGAAAGTTTCTACATGTTCGAAAAAATGGATGTTCAACCATTGATTGTGTGGGTGGCAAATTAGCGAGATTAGATTTAATTTTCACCATTCGTGCACGAGAACAGCTTTAGCCGGAAATGATCTGGCATTGTTTTATTGTGTTCTCCTCCATATAGTTCAATGAAAATGTTTTTCCCAATATGGTTGTAACATCTTAAAACAAAAAATATCAAGATAATTTTTTATTAAAGCTGTTCTCGTGGACGAATCGTGAAAATCGAATCCGATCTCGCTAATTTGCCACCCACACAATCAATGGTTGAACATCATTTTTTTCGAACATATTTATACTGGAATAGGAGGGCTAAAGCTTAAGCCAATAATCATATCGTGCTGGTGTACAAATAGCTGGCCATACACAGACGTTATTTCGCGCGGTTTATCGTGGCGTGTTGGCATGTAGCGGTTTGCATGCACGAAAGAACGGCGTGGCAAAAAAAGCGTCATGTTCCATACACTTGATAAAGTATTCAAATGATTTAGCAAGTGATTTCCCGTGGTATATCAGTTTCAAAGGAAAAATCGTATGTGAGTGGGCAAAAAGTGTCATTTATCGAGTCGTTTGAAACTGCATGTGATCATGTACAAATTTTCAACGTGAAATTTTGCCAAGCAAAGGTAAACCGTGACGCGGAATGTGGCGTGTGGACGCGCCACACTCCAGAGAAAAGCACGTCTGAAATCCCTTCCCGTTCTATCATTGCGCGCGGCGACACTCACTCACGTACATGATTTTCCATATGTTTTTGCAGATAACACGATAAACCGCGCGCAATAACGTCTGTGTATGGCCGGCTAATCATACACAGACGTTATTTCGCGCGGTTTATCGTGGCGTGTTGGGATGTAGCGGTTTGCATGCACGAAAGAACGGCGTGGCAAAAAAAGCGTCATGTTCCATACACTTGATAAAGTATTCAAATGATTTAGCAAGTGATTGCCCGTGGTATATCAGTTTCAAAGGAAAAATCGTATGTGAGTGGGCAAAAAGTGTCATTTATCGAGTCGTTTGAAATGTTAAAGGCACGTTAGTTACGTCATAAACTCAAACCATCCCAAACTCAACAACACAACCCATCCGACCCCGCCCCATTGGCCCCCCCCCGGGGGGCCATGTGATCATGTACAAATTTTCAACGTGAAATTTTGCCAAGCAAAGGTAAACCGTGACGCGGAATGTGGCGTGTGGACACGCCACACTCCAGAGAAAAGCACGTCTGAAATCCCTTCCCGTTCTATCATTGCGCGCGGCGATACTCACTCACGTACATGATTTTCCATATGTTTTTGCAGATAACACGATAAACCGCGCGCAATAACGTCTGTGTATGGCCGGCTAATGCAGCGCAACAAAAAAAAGAGCCTAAAGTAGTGAGAAAAAGAGTTCGAGGATTGTTCGTGTCTCGTTAGTCGCACCGAGCTCTATTTTTTTTTAAATTGTAAAATATTAAAAGAGGTACAAAATGTCATAATAATTTATTATAAAATACACAGCTTGTGAAATATTTGCAAAAAGATAAAAAAGATTTTATTTTTTTGTTCAAATAAGCCCCTATCAATTCCAGAAAAAAATTCCTCGGCACGCAAGGTCTGGCCATTTTTCACCACGGTTTGACTGGGCTAATAGGGTATATTGTAGGGTATTTCCGCGAAACCTTACCCCACGTTGACAAAAAGTTAGATGTGTTATTTAACAAAAGAAAAACTATATCTGGTGCGCGATCCTCGACATCATTCGCACCGTACGTATACGACATGAAGTCGAGCGATTCATTTGCGAATGGTTTTAAAAAATGGTATCCTCGACAAATCTTCGCGATTGAAAACGTACACGACAAAATTAAACGAGTGGTTCATCCGGCAACACCGCATGTGTTAGTTTATTTACGTTTAATGTAGTGGTAGTTACCAGCTTTGACAATGTCAAAGCTAGTATCTAAATGTCAAATTGACATTCTCTTGGACATTTTGTTTGTGTTTTTATTGTTTGACATAGAAATATAATGTATACAAGTGCAAAGCCCGTCTAAAACTGTGCTATTTGTAAGTAACATGATGGACAAAAAAAAATATTTCACTGAGGAGCAAAAGAAAACTTTAATTATATTACCTAATTTAAAAAAATGAAGCATTGCAAAGTGGAAAATTTTCAAATAATTTTACGTACAACCCAAACAGCACACAACATCCTTAAGACGTCTTGTTTATGTCTTAAGGTCTGAACGTCTTAAGACCTAAAAACGACGTCTTAAAGATATATTTGAGAAGACGCACAGAGGTCATTTTATTATTTGTAGGAATTAATAAATAAAAAATGCAACTTTCTTAAATATTTAATTTTATGCTAGAATATTAAAAACAACATTCCAAAGAAAAATATTTTTAAACGTACTTTTTTTTTCTGATTTGAGTTGGCTCTCAAATGGGTTAAAATATTAGTTAACAATTATTGATAACTTGACTTTTACTTTTTTGACATATGTTGTGTTGTTTGCAAAGTGTATTTCTGTGTTCTACTTGCAGTCTTTTCAATTTGGTTTTTTGTTATTTAAGAGAGCAAGGTAAGGGCTTTAATATTTGATATAAAGTTATTTAAAAAATATGCGCTTATGTATAAAAGATAATTAAATATAAATGCATACATTATTTACCAGTTTTTAAAATTATATAATTTTGAAAAGCTGCAAATTGTAATATTACAAAATATTTGTCATAAAAATATGTTTTATACTTTAATTGCTTTATTACCTTTATGCTAATTTCGCATTTGGGTGCCAAGAAGTGCCAGGCGCTTTAAAAAAAATATTATTTTAGGACTATGTTAATAATTAAAAACGACATGTTTGCTGCTTGGTGCGGACAGACCTTACTTGGAGATAAAAATTCGTCTGTTTTTAAATTTGTTTTAAGAAAGCTCAACTTAAATAAGGATCGACTTGATAATAGGTACAATATGGTAGCAAAAAAAGTTAATAATTTTAACAGCGCTGTTACCAGAATGTGGAAGAATTGCAAACGGTCCCGAAAACTTTTTGAAGCCAGACATCGTGAATGGCTAAATGAGTCCATAATTTTTATTGAAGAATTAAATGTACCTGTGCCTGGGTCCAGCAGAGGTAGACCAGAAAAATTATTTATAGATCTCGGCGACCAACGAAAAAGGCAAAAATTAATGACATTATTGGATAACTATTCTACGGAACAGCTTACATTTGCTACTCGTAAAAGTCTATAATCGTCAGCATTACAATTACATTGAGCTGTATTCCTGGTACTATATGCCAACGAGTCTTCACAGGATACTTATTCACGGGCAAGAAATTATAAAGGCTGTACCTCTTCCGGTAGGCATGTTTTCAGAGGAAGCCCTTGAATCTAGGAACAAAGACTTTCGGAAATATCGAGAATCATACTCCAGAAAATTTTCAAGGGAGGAAACTATGAAAGATGTATTTTGTAGGCTACTGCTTTCGTCTGACCCACTCATATCATCATTATCCAAGTGTGTAGGTACTCGTTCCAATACGCAACCCTTAAACAACGAAGTTTTAAAATTGCTTCAAGAGCCTCATTTGCCAAATGAAATGTATGAAAATAAAAACATTTGAGATTCCGAAAATTCTGATTAATAATTGTGTAATAGGTTAAGATTTTTTAGCTAGTATAATTATAACATTGTTAGTATTGCGTTTTGTTGTGAATGCATTTTGGTACACCATGTTAATTAAATCTGATTAAAAATATAATCGATAACGTGATTTACATTTGCTTATTAGTGATTTTATTTGCTGATTAGAACTGAATTATTATAAACACTCTGTATATCGTCAAGAGCTC